TTCTTTGCCCAAAAATATATTACATGGGTTTAGACTTGATTCAGTCCATTAAGAAAGGAAGAGTGGTTCACGTATAGTCCTGGGTGGTCCCACTCCTACCCTCCAGCTTCTCATAGCCCCAGATCTTTATGATATGCTAATCGTCCTCTTGACTCTTTCATACAGAAAAGGATTTAGTTCGATAATATCACACCTATGTTAATATTTTATAGTACAGCATTTAGTTTGTATGAGGCAAGAGTTTAGAAGGAACTGAAAAATTATCTTGGGAGGGCAATTGACAGGTTATTGAAGCAGGCTGGGTCTTCCAAAGGCACAGAGCAACTGAAACTCATTGTACTGTGGCAGGTAAATACATGTTTTTCATTTGGGAGACATAAAGCTTTGCTAAATATGGATTGAATAGAGGCATCTGGGTGCAGTAATGTTTCAGAGAGGAAGCATTAATGTCTGTGAACATTTTCTTGAGGTGTATTTCAATTTTCCCCTCCCACACATGCATACGTTATTAAAATCTTGGGCACTTTATAAATGAAAGAAATGATTTCTGAGAGGCATCATATTGTTAAGGATAGCTGAAAACCCAGTCATCATGCACAGTTTCCAGGCTAATGGTGTATCCTATTCCCTACCTCTGACCCCCAAATCTTAACTAGTTAAGTCACTTGTTTCAGAGGTTTGGTATTTCTATAGAGCACTGAACAAGTTTTATACACCAACAATAAATACTGAATTACCTTACTACTCTTAGAAAGGTAAAGCAATAAACAAGAAAAGTACATTGTTTGTAAGGGAGAAAATGGATCCACAAAAGGCAATCATTCAGAAATAAATTAAAAATACTGGCCAAAAATGGACACTGACATTATTGCATTTAAAAAGTTAGGATATAGGTAGATAGAAAGAAGACTTGATAGGATTGAGGCTGATTCATATGAGTTCCTGGACACATCTGTACATATTTCCTGGTGAGCTATGGAGAGTCTCCATTTTGTGGATGTACTGTCATGGAAACTAATGCTATGTATAAAGATTTTTTTATTTTGGGTCATCTTTGTGTGTGTGTGTTTGCATGATTTTGATTTAAACCAAATTTAAACAATTTTATAAAAGTTAAATCCAGGAATTGAAAAGACCATCACAATGCCATTTAGTTTCTTGCCCCAACTGTAGCAGCTTGAGACAGCATGACCATTACACTGAAATAGCCATCTCTTCTTTCCTTCCCTACCTTCCCCCCTTCCTCCTTCTCTCCCTCTCTTCTTTCTCTTTCTTTCTCTCTTTCTTTTTTCTTAAAAATCTACAGAAAAAAGCTCTCATTTTTGAGTGGTGCATTCCAATGTCTAATGACTCACCCAGTGAAAAAGGAAAGAGATGCTTATTCTGCCCCAACATTAGCTTTACAAAAAGAATGCCAGAGGTGTTTGTACCAACAGCAAAGTAAACTAATCCTGAGTTATCTATTGTGGCCTTCCATTAGGCTCAGCCCAACAAGTCTCACAGTGAAGTGCAATGGAATTTAATAAAACTAAGCTTCACAAATATTCTTGAAACAAAATAACAAAATTAACAAACCTGCAGAGCATTACTCGATATAAATGGTGAATTCAAAGAAAATAAATGTTCTGCAACCAAAGTGAAACTGGCATTTTAATTTTATCAAATTTTGTAGAAACAATTCTGGAAAGTATAGAATTTCAATTTTTTTCTGTCACAATATAACAGATACTAACCTACCTTTACATAAATGTATTTTTCTACCTACTATCACATTTTGTGTATTGTGTGCCCTTCAGAATAGTGCCCTTGTTATGTGCCCTATCGAATTTTAAACATGTATAATATCACCATCCTATGCCATAGGAGTTATATAAGAGTGTGTTTTGGTTTTCAAATATAGTCTTTTAATTGTTGATTTTCATCTGAATTATATTGTCAAGTATAATCTTTATTATATAGAATATTTGACATTTTAGAGACTTGCTTTGTGGCTTAGTATGTGATGAATTTTTTAATAAGATTTCCTCATGAACTTGAAAAAATTATTGTGTTTTGGGGTTACAATGTTCTAAAGATAGATTGTGTATATTTTGTTAATGTTTTACTTAAATCTTCTGTGCTACAAGATTTTTTTTGTCTGATAGAGAACTGTTAAAATATCTCACTCTGATGTTGTAAATTTGTTAATTCTTTCTTATTGTTCTTTCAGCTTTTACTCTATTTTTACTGAGATGCTATCATTTGTAGAAAATGAGTTCATACTTGTTAGAACTCCTTGGTAGCATGGTTGATTCTTATATTATTGTCAAGTGTTCACTTTACCAATAATTTTGCCTTAATTTCTACTTTGTCTCCCATTTTCTATCACAGTAGCTATTTGTCCAACAGAACTGTCCTCAGCATTTCTGAAATATAAGCAGAATTTAACTGCATTATAATCTGCCTATATCTCTTGGGGGGTGGATTTTATTTGTTTATTTCATTGGGAGCCGAAGGTCTGCATGAGAGGGCTAACTTTCTGCTCTGCCTTAGTTGGAAGTCCTCTGCTGGGCTTTTAATGGGATGTACAAGTAAAGTATTCCCTGTTACTGATCCCAGAGCACTGGTATTCCATGTTACTGATCTCCACGGGCAACTGTGTGGTCTCCTACAGCTGAGCACAGGTTACTCCATCTCTTTGTGGCATTGGCTTAGTAATGGGTTCTGTAGGTAGAACCAGGACTTTCATGAAGATTCAGTGGCCTTAATTGTGGCTGACAGATTGTAGCTAGTAATATTTTGTCTCTAATAAAAAACCTGGCAGCCTAGAATGAGGGTAAAACCCTAACTGTACATGTTACAAAAAATAATTTTTCCACAAATCAAAAATAATATTAATATATACAGGAAACAAACACAGAATTGGCTTATTTAAAGCAAGCAAATGTCAATAGAAAAAGAAATGAATGGATTATAATCTGGAGTAATTTACCTTAGAAGACAATTTAAGAGCACTTTAGGGACCTTTAGGCTTCTTGTATTTTTCTTGGGAAGGACTGAGAGTAAATATCAGTGGTCTGTGTAAAAGTTTGGCTTACTGTTTTGGCATCTTGGGAATTTACCCTAATGCCTGCCTGATAGCTGTCCAACCCTGGTAATCACCTTTCCTCAACCTGTTTTGCAATGATTATACTTTTAATACTTAAAAGCATCTTCCCTCTAATTATACCCTCCTGGCTTGATTGATGCAGAAGAATAAAAGTAAATCAAGTCAGCATGATAACTCAATCCCAGGGCAAGCTTAACAGAAACTGTGTTGCAAAGGACTCAATGTTCTCTTCTATCTAATGTGCAACAGTGTATGTGAAATGGGATAACCGTTAATGAGCTGAAAAGCTTATTTATTAAATATGAGTCCTGTTTTGAATAGATGGATCTAGAGTTTTAGGTTTCCAATGCTAATATCCATGCACATACTTGTATAAGAGTATTTCTGGGTCAAATTAGTGCATGCAGGGTAAGATAGATGCTAGGTTTGTGATGTTTTAAAGACCAGTGTAAATGTCAGTAAACAAAACAACAGACAAGACAAGGCACAGCTCTGTAATGATTCTAAATTATCTGGACTGGCTGATGTGTGCTTCTCATTCAAATATCTTTTTCATCAAAATCTCCAGGGCAGTGTAATGGCCTTTCCACATCAATGGCTTCTTAGCTATGTTCTTTTTCTACATCTGAGAGTGAAATCTTCTCATTTCAGTTTAAACCACTGAGTCTCAATGTGCCTTAAATTTACTTACATAACAAATTCAATAAAATTAGAAAAATGTAGTCATTTTTTATAATTTAAAATTATTTCCTTGTGTACATATTCAGATTATATCCTTTTTACTTTTGGGGATTAAAATCACTTTGAAAAATAGTGTGATGAGGATAGTAGTTGAAAAAATTTTAATGTGCTTATTTTGTTTAAAAACCTAGCAATTTATGTAGCTCCTTGGATAATCTTTTCTAATTTTATAGGATTGTGAAATTTAAAACCCTGGGAATCATTGACTCAAGTCATTCTTTCAGAATAAAACTAGTTCTTTCAGCGAGTAAGCAGATTAAGTGGTATTTTTGAGACTAGAAAAAAGAGTCTTTCTAACATATGGAACGGATAGAGGTATCTGAGTAACATATACTTGATTTGAACACATTGAAAATGTTTTTTAGCTTTTCACTGATTTGCCCACTAACTGTGCTGAAACCAAAAAGGAGTAGATAAATGAGCCTAAAAGGAATTTAGGCCAAAGCAAGGCACTTAAGTCTTCAGAAAAAACTCATTGCTGTGCCATTTTCAAGGCAGTAAAAATGGAAAACCTTGAAATGGCTGTGCCCTTGAGCCTTTCTTGAGCTTGCTTATACCATGGGCAGTCTCTCTGAGACCGATTCAGCATGCCTTGTGAGAAAAATACATAGGAAAAATTTGAGACACTGGTCCAAGTTGACAAATTTACTCTTTGGAGAAATCAAGAAGTCATTGGATCCATTTAAGCTCTTTAGCTACCATGAGGAGATAAACACACACACACACACACACACACACACACACACACACACACACACACACACACACACACATACAAATCCAATTTAGTTTTTTTTGCTTTTTAAAAAATGTAAATTACCATAAATGAATGGGCACATACATAAGCACATTGCATATGCTGATTCTATTTTAACTTCGGTTTCTTTCCATGGAATGGTAAAATTCTCAACACTCACTGGTGCTGAGAAGCAACATCTTAGTTTTGGTGTTGGTTTTGGCTTGGGCCATCATCTGCATACCATTGGACCTCACCGGGCTGGTTTTCTTGGAAGAGTAATGTCTATTCTATGAAGGTGCTGATGGCTAGAACTTTTCCTTGACCTTTTCAAATCAATATTTTCAGTCTTAGTTACCCTAGCTGCTCTACTTGTGACTACTTTTCATAGCATTCATCTTCCTTTGTGCATTTCATATGTTTATATAGTATATTGGATATATAATATATGATATTTTGGATAGTTTAAAAAAGGTAGCTTTTACTCGTGGTGTTCAGTGCTGGGCTTACCTTCCATGCTTTGCTAATCCCTTCTCCCCCAGCTCTCTTAGGAACTCTGTTTCCCCAGACTCAGCTTCCTCTCAAGATTCTTGGTCAAAAATGTCTCAGGTCTCCTGGTCCTTTAAGGTATGGTTCCCTCATTGGGGTCATTCCTTTTTAAGGGACCTTCTTAAGTTACTTGTGGGTCCTCTGTTAACACCAGCCACATTTATTGGTAGGTGCATATATTGAATGTTACCTTATGGATTGTTTTCTAGACTCTTAGGTCTTTATGATCCTTTTGGAAATGGATAGATATTTGCCACTATGATTTAAAAAAGAAAGGACTAGTAAAATGCTTCCAAAATACTGTTCTAGGAGCCAACAGGTCTCCCTAGCACTTGGTTTGTGCTATTACCTCTTTAACTGTATCATTCTTTCAACCCACAGAGCTGCAACTCATATTTTAATTCTGCTAACCTAGGTGAATACCTTTTTCTGTACTTTTTAGCATTTTACTATTATGCTAATAATGATAAGATTTGCAGAAGAGATTATTTTTTTGAAGAAGTCCTAAGATCCTGTGTTCTCCTACAGCTGATAATAAAAATATTGGTTAAATGATTATCAACTGAAAGAATTTTAGGGACTCAGATACATAACTTTAGAAAACAGGAGCATTAGGATGACCTGAAAACATGTCTACATATGCAACTATCTAAGCCTACAATTCTTAATGTTTTTAGCATTTGTAGAGTACATTTGCTAGGGACTGTGCTAACTTCTAGGGACATAACAGTGAATTAGATATGGCCTTTGCCCCAAAGGAGGCTCAAAGATTTACAGAAGCTCCAAACATTTGGGAAATAGCCACTGTTTAAACACAGGACCTAGATATATTTAAACATAGGCAGTTAGTATCTTATGGATTAGAAACCTAAAGAGATAATTCAATATGGTCTTGTTTATTTCTGCTTACCTACATGATAGGTATTATTTTTGACAGTGATAGCTGTTCTATAGTTGGAAATTATGAAGCTGATAAAAATGCCCTAATTGCTATTTCCTGCATTTCATCTCAAAGCTTCTTAAACTTGAACTCTTCAAGTGAGATTTCTTGTGGAAATAGCCTGAGAAGAACCTGTGCACTGTGAATTTCCTTGGGCTCCTGTCTATTGCCTGGCTAGTACCCCATGTTGAGCTAGAAGGTGCTAGCTGAGGAAGCCCAGTATCTCAGGCATCCTACTGTTAAATCACCGAGCACAGGGAATTAGCCCAGGGGAACAAAAGGGAGGCCCCATTAACCATAGCGGCCTTCTGGCTGCCTGTGGACCAGCCATGAAAACTTTTACCCAGTGAATTTTTTAAGCTGACATTTCTGTCACCCAGATTGCTGTTCCAAATCCATATCTGCTTTGTTTAATATAAGAACTAGGTACTGAGTAAGAAGCTAGTTCTGGTAAACAATCCCTAGGGCTATAGTCCTTTCCATCCGGACAAATAGAAGACAAAGCCTGCAGAACATCCCACTAATGCTCAAGATCAGCTTCCTCAGTTGAAAGTGCACTTAAAATGAGGAATGTAATGGCAATTGACAGGGGGCTTTAAAAAGCCCTGTTTTTGTGAAAAAGCAAGAGGGAGGGCTGCTCATTAATGAATGCAAATGATGGCTTGCTTTCATTTTACAAAATATTGAGAGGCGGTGTTGGGTATTATTATCAAATATCTATTCACACACACACAAATCCACTCTATATATCTGTGAACAAGTCAGAGACATATATTTTATATAGTAAGATATTCACTGCTTCTGAGTTTCTAGAGACTGATGAAAAATAAGAGTCTTCTCTAAGCCAAAGAGTTTTCATAATTGATGATTTTGGACTTCAGAGACAAGAATTGACCTTCTGATCTTTTGGATGGTCAGAGTGGACAAGGAAATCAGGCTCTGCTTTTATCCGTCATTTGATACTTCCTTTATTTATGGCCTATCCCAGAAGGCTGGGAACCTTCCCACATGTGCAATGTACTCCTTGCAGGTTAAAATCAAGACCTTGGCTTCATTTTGAAAACAGCACGCATTAGCCAACTTGTTTTAATGCTTCATATTTTCCATTTACAGTGATTATAACCTGTTTGGAGCTTTGTTTTTAGACCAAGACAATTTTTAATGAATGTTATGAAAGCTTCAAGTCTGATGATTTAATTATCAGAACCCATGTTCCTGCTAGAAAACTCAACAAAACATTTTGCTTGTGGGAATAGCTCAACAAAAAATCAGGCAAGATAGTTCAACAGAAATGGCATAGTTAGGGCTCTTTTACAAGTCGACTGGGCTCGATAGAAGGCAACATTCCTCAATCAACAGAAACTTTGGCAGGGATGATTTCTTCCCATAGCTGTCTCGCTTACTGCACTAAAGGGAATATAAAATCCTGAGCAAGCAAATTAATTTGACAAAACACTTAGAAGCTGAATTTAAAGTGTCAGTGGAGACCATTGGAAAAGTATGTCGAGTGCCTTTAGTGAAAATTCTACTTACTGCCCACTTGTAGCCAACAGATGAGTTGTTATAACTGTCAAAGGAGTCAGACTATGAAGAAGAGAACATTTATCAGAGTATAACATGATGAATACAGGGTGAACATGATTCCTATGTCTTGATTCTAGATTGGAACTATCCATTGGGATGTAAAGGACATTATCCAGATCCATTGTCTTAGGAATTGTTCCAAAGATTTGTCCAAAGATAGCAGAAAACATCCCATAAACCCACAAGTTATTTTCTGAACACTTTACTTATAAATATAATGATCACATGAATTATCATTCAAAATTTTGTCTGGGAAGAATGTGAGGTTGGATGGAATGCTGAGACTGCCCTGGGCATCATGAGAAATATGGCCACTATGTGTATGGAGAACGTGCAGAGTAGACCAGGTGTCTGGTGATAGAGGAGTGATTGATGGCTCCTCCACCACCTCTCAGTGTGAACATATTTGTTTATTGTAATGTCTCTGTTCCCCATTCCTTTTCCACATGCCCCTGTCTAGCCAGCAGCAAGCTACTATGGGCAAACTTTCTTGAACAAAAGAAATAACTAAACTCAGGTGTTTGCGTTCATTCGTTAATTTTGGGGTCATTTGTTTAACTGCTTTTGAAGCAACTTTTACCCCTAGGAATGTGTAGGGCAGTGGCTTTCAACCTACACACCCTGGAATATAATCAGTTGTGAGGTGTATCACAAGTAAAAGGCAAGGTACCAAATGTGTAATATATTATTTTCGTATAAATTCAGGTGAATTGGGGGTTATCGCTGTAATGATATAGGTCTCACTTACTTGTATTGCAAAATGCTCCCTGGAATAACAGAATGGGGTTAGAGCTTGGAATTAGCCTATTTTGTTTTAAAAATCTGGCTGAGTTAAATGGAGTCTCTACTGTGCCATTGTGCCTCTTACCTGTGTTCGGCCAGGGGAAAAAGTTGAGAATCTGTGTTTCACTTATCTATTGCTGCATAACAAACCACTCCAAAACTTGATGGCTTAAAAAAATAACATTTATTTTGCTCATGAATTTGCAACTTGAAGAGGGTTAAATTGGGATAGCATTCTTTTTACTCCACTTGGAATCAGCTGGGCCAGCTCTAAGGCTCAGGGCTGGTATCATCTGAATGCTTGCTCACTAATATGTCTAGGGAAGGAATGTGAGCTGTTGTGGCTGGGGAAGCACTGTGGCACACTGTATTTTCCAAAAGTGGTCACAGTTAAGTTTCTGCTTCCACATGCTCTTCCATAACCTTGTCACTCACCCATCAAAAACAGGGGTGAATATTCCTTCTGCTTGTTCCCAAGAAGGATGGGGAATGCTATGACCAATAACATATGGCAGAAATGTTGCCAGCCTTGACTTCAGAGGGTGGGCTGCAAAAGTTTTCATGGCTTCCACTTGGAATCTCTCTCAGGATGCTCACCCACTCTTGGAAACCCAGGCCACATGAAGAGGGCATGGGTAAGGGTTTGGCCAACAAGCTAAATTCTAGACTAACAGTGAGGATCCACAATCACACATGTGAGTAAATGAGTCTTTACTCACTCCAGCCCACAGGTCTGAGCGTTCCCCGCTGATACCATGTGGAGCCGAGATGAACTATCCACGGAGTCTCATCCAAATTGCAGACATGTGAGTAAAATAAATAGACAACTGAAACAGATAACTGGAACACTCTGCTTTACAGATTAAAGACAGGATGCACTCAAAATTTTCTGAAGGTCCAAGAGGTTACTTTGAAACAAAAGTGGTTTTATTCATCATCCCTGCTGATGTATTTTTCCTCTATAATTAAAAATGGTCATGGGTCTTTGGTCAAATTTCACTCCTTTCCACCAGAGTGTGTATACTCTGATTCTCTTTTCCAGAATACATGCTTGCTGTAGAATGTGGAGTTGACACAGCTAAACTGACAATCTGCCAATTTCTGTTATCTTTGCCAATTCGTGCTCCCAAATTCTTTATCTCTATTCTCTAACTTATTTCTGAGTTGTTAGGTAAGATAATCTTAAACTATGAATTTTGAACTGAATGATAGTGACAGAACATTCTTATTAAATTAGTGTTGGTGCATTCTAGGATTTCAGGGCTCTGGCGTTTGCATGAGTCCAACTTAGTGACCATACACTATAGGGCATATAAGCATATTATGTGACAATATGTAATGGAAGATAAATAAAGTCAAGATTCTTTTAAAAGAATTTTGCTACCTTCACCAAGTTCTTTGTTAAATAGGAACATATTGGCATATAATTTTTGCTTCTGAAATGTCAGTGCTGTGTTTTTCCATTAAAAGAATTCTGATAAATGTCAGAATTCTTCCCTCTCAGAGATAATAAATGACAAATACTGCTGCAAAATTCCAAAAATTTATCATGGAAGAAAAGTTTTCCTATAGATATTGTCCATCATGTCATTCTGTCTTCTGAGTAGATTTTTAAGGGTATGTATCAAACACCATCCAAAGCAGTCATTTTTAAACTTCAGCATTCACTGGAATCATCTGGAAGGTCAAGTCACTGATTGCCGTGCCTCTGCCCTAGAACTACTGATTGAGTGGTAGAGTAAAGCCCAAGAATGCATTTCTAACACTGCCGCTGGTCCAGGGATCACACTTTGAAAATCACTGATCTAGAGGAACAAGATAAAGACTGATTGTTTATGTAGAGATTTTTCTAACTACTACTGTCTGAAACATACTCTAGATTTAAAACAGCTTTCAAGTCATCACATGACAAAATAGTTTTCATTCATCCAGAGGTTAGATAAGCCATTTCTACTAACCACATTTTAATCACATATTGGGGCAAAGTACAAGAAGAAACAAATTGGTTCTTTCAGTCTAAATGTCATCAAGTGCTAAATGGGATCTAAAATGGAGAATGTGTCATGGGAGAGTTATTGGAAGCGTTTCTCACCAGTGCACAACCAGAGAACTTGGTTAGTTTTGCCAGTATGGTTAGAAAATAGCCAGAATTCTGTCTCAAATATTTCAGTAATAAATACACAATGGACAAAATTAGTTTATGCCTGGGAACTCAAAGACCAAATTTGTTCTGTTCTAGATGCCTTGGACATCTGAGTCTCAAAAAAGCTACTAAAAATAAACACATAGACCAATGGAACAAAATAGAGAATCCAGGATTAAATCCATGCATTTATAGCCAATTCAGCAAAGGTACCAAGACTACATATTGGGGCAAGGACAGTCTGCAATAGATGGTGCTGGAAAATCTGGATATCTATATGTAGATGAGTGAAACTATACCTCTCTCATCACTTACAAAAATCAACTAAAAATAGATTAAAGACTTAAATGCAAGACCCAAGCTATGAAACTACTAGAAGAAACATGGAAAATGCTTCATGACATTGGTCTGGGCAAGGATTTTTTTGGATAAGACCTCAGAAGCACAGGCAACAAAAGTAAAAATAGACAAATGGAATTACATCAAACTAAAAAGCTTATGTACAACAAAGGAAACAATCAGCAGAGTGAAGAGACACCCTACAAAATGGGAGAAAATATTTGTAAACTCTGCAACTGACAAATGATTAATATCTAAAATACATAAGAAACTCATATAACTCAATAGCAAAAATAAATAAATAAATAAATAATAAAATTAAAAATGGGCAAAAAGTTCTGAACAGACATTTCCTAAAAAAAGACATACAAATTGCCAACATGTGTATGAAAAAATGCTCAACATCATTAATCATTAGGGAAATGTAAAGGTAAATCAAAACCACAATGAGATATCATCTCACCTCAGAATGGCTATTACCAAAAAGACACAAAATGACTAATGCTGGCTAGGTTGTGGAGAAAGGGAAACTCTTATACATTGTTGGTGGGAATGTAAATTAGTACAGCCACTAAGGAAAACAGTGTGGAGGTTTCTCAAAAATTAAAAAATTTAACTGCCATATGATCCAGCAATCTCGCTACTGGGTATATAAAACCAAAGGAAATGAAATCAGTATGTCAAAGAGACATATGCACACTCATTGTTTATTCACAATAGCCAAGATATGAAGTCAACCTAAGTGTCCATCAACAGATGAATGTATGAAGAAAATGTGGTATACTTACACAATAAAATATTACTCAGTCATAAAAAAGAAAGAAACCCTGTCATTTGCAGCAACATAGATAAGCCTGGAGGACACTATGTTAAGTGAAATAAGCCAGGCACAGAAAGACAAATACTGCATGATCTTACTCATATGTGAGATCTAAAAAAGCTGATCTCATAGAAGTATATAGTAGACTAATGGTTACTAAAGGCTGGGAAAGGTAAAGAGGAGGGGAAATGGAGAGAGGTTAATGGGTACAATGTTTTAGTTAAGTAGGATGAATAACTTCTAGTGTACTATTGTACAGTATGGTGACTACAGTTAACAAAAATATATATTTCAAAATAGTCAGAATAGAGAATTTTTAATGTTCTTACCACAACGAAATGATAAATATCTCAGGTGATGGATATGCCAGCTACCCTAATTTGATCATTACCCATTGTATACAGTTATCAAAATATCACATTGTACCCCATAAATATGTATAATCATTATGTGTCAGTTAAACATTTTTGAAAAATCAAAAAATTTTTAAAATGAAGTCATATTATAAGATTTTAAAGAAATTAAATGTTTTTTTAAAAACAAAACAAGTAAATTTTTAAAAAATGAACAAAATTATAACTTACGCATAATGCCATTCCCACCCCAGATATTATCTTTCTTTACATTTTAATGTGATCTCTTCAGATGTTTATATGTATATAAATGCATTTTCTTAAAATAGAATTTTCTGTACATATTGCTTTATCTCTGTTGCTCAATAAGATCACTATTGCAAATATTTGTGTATATATTTTTCTTGGATAAATTCTGTTGCTTTATTTATAGAAAAGTCATTATATATTAGGGATATGTTGCAATTTTTAAAACCAAATACACAAAACAAAAGCTGACAGATTGCAAGCATAAACAAACCCATGATTACAGTTAGGTATTTCAATACCCTTCTGTCAGTAAGTTATAGAATGTATAGTCAGAAAATAAGGATGCAGAATATGTAAATAACACCAGCAACCCAATAAATATTTATAGAACACTCTACTCAACATCAGCAACATACACAATCTTTTCAAATGTACACAACATATTTAAAAACATATACCACATCTGGTGCCATAAAACAAGTTTCAATGAATTTAAAAGTATTCAGGTGTATATAATATGTTCTTTGACCATAAAGGCATTAAATTAGAAATCAATTCTAGAAGGATATCTGAAATACCCAAATGTTTTTCCACTAAATAGCCCATTTATAAATAACTCATAGTTCAAGTAAGAAATCAAAAAAGAAACTAGAAAGTATTTTTAACTGAAGAAAAGGAAGTATATTAAGCACAAAGAAAGCACAGAAAAGGAAAGAAAAAGCAGAAATCAATGAAATAGAAGAGAAAAACAAAAGAAAATGTCAGCAAATCAAAAAGCTGATTCTTGAAGAAAATCAGTAACATTGATAAACTTCTAGCCAACTGATCAAGAAAAAAAATTAAGAGAAAAGACATAGTCTGTCAATATCAGGCATAAGAGAGGTGATATCACTAGAGATTCTACCAATATTGAAAGAATAATAAAAGACTATTATGAAAAACTTTATGCCAATAAATTTGAAAACTAGATAAAATGATCAAACTTCCTGAAATACATGAAATACAAAGGTACACTCAAAAAGAAATAGAAAATATCAAAATTAAATTTTTAGTTAAAAACATTCCCACAAATAAAATCCCAGGTCCAACTGGCTTCATTGGTGAATTCTACCAAACACTTAAGAAATAAATAACATTAATTCTTCCTAAACTCTTTAAGAAAACTGAAGAGAGAGGAATAATGCCCAACTCATTTTATGAAGCCAGCATCACCCTGATGTCAAAAGAAGGCAGATCTTATAAGAAGACTACAGGCCAACATCCCTAATGAACATAGCTGCAAAAGTTCTTAAGATTTTTAGCTAATTGAATCCAGCCATATATAAAAAGCATGATATATAATGACTAAGGTTAATTTCAGAAATGCAAGGTTAGTTAACCTAAAGATCAATTAGTGTGATTCATTATATTAACAAACTAAAAAAAATATATATGCTCATCTTAAAGTATTTGGCAAAATTCAACATACATCTATATGTTCCAATGCTGCCATATTCTCAGCAAAAATTTCGTGAAGGAGAATTGATGTGAGAGTAGAATGACATTTTGGACTCCAACAGGTTTTAAGCCCCCATGGAAGCCCAGGTGGTCATTAAAATCCCCCCTCATTTTTATCTACTTCAGTAGAGTCCCTTGGCTTATACAAAGTGTGACATTTTCCATGACTGTTCTCAGAGACGGAAGAAGCCACTTGCTTTTGCTTACCAAGGAATGGCTTATTCCTCTCTGAAACTTAGTCTCTTTAGACTGCTTTGTGTCCATGCTTCTCTAGTATCACACACACACACACACACACACACACACACACTTTAATGCATTCTTCTTTCTTTCTATTGTTATAGCAGGAAAAATTGGTCATATTTTTGGCCACAATTCTAGAATCTGAGTCCACACTGTATACCT